CTTTGGCACAGTGGGATTAACAATATACCTTATACTATCTGGACAGGAAGAAAACCAAATTTAAAATTTCTACATGTATTTGGGTCACCTGCATGGGTGCATATACCTAAAGAGATCAGAAGAAAGGGTGATAGGAAGGCTAAGCTAATGGATTTTTGGGGATACCAGCAAACCAGAAAAGCATATAGATTTGGTTTACCCAAAACTAACAAAGTAGTCATTAGCAGTAGTGCATCATTTAATGAACATGCCTACTGGGACAAGATTAGTTTGCCTCCAGAGACCATCATCCACATACCAGATATGCAGGAGAATGGGGAAAGTGATGATGAGGAAAGCTCACAGCCAGAACAGGGAATAAAGAAAGAATCAGAACCTGTTGAACTGCAGCCAGATAGTGAAATACCATCTACCTCAGAGGAGAGCGTGATTCCTAGGAGATCAACAAGGGAGCGTAGACCACCTGAAAGATATCAGTCTGAAACCTATTACTGTTTAAATGTAGCTGAACCTGAAACTTATGAAGATATATGTAAGATGCCTAAAGTTGAGCAGGATAAGTGGAATGAAGCATTAGAGAAAGAGCTAAATTCTCTAAAACAACTCAGAGTATATGAAGAAATTCAGGAACCTCCTGACACTAAAATTATTGGGTGCAGGTGGATATTTAAAAAGAAAAGGGATGCTGATGGCAATCTGAGATATAGGGCAAGACTAGTTGCAAAAGGTTACTCTCAGACAACTAGTGATTGTGACCAGGTGTTTGCACCAGCTCTGAGGCCAAAAACCTTGAGGTTTGTGTTAGCATATGCAGCCAAACACAATCTAGTTTTGAGGCATGTGGACATAGAAACAGCTTACCTGAATGCAGATTTACAGCATACTATTTACATGAAGTTACCACCAAACAGAGAAAAAAGGTAAATGTTGGTTACTAAAGAAAAGCCTGTATGGACTGCAGCAAAGTTGGTATGAGAGGAATCAGCATTTTACTAAAACACTCATAAGTAATGGATTTTTACCTGGAAAAGCAGATCCATGTTTATTTACCAAAAGGGATGAGAAAGCTATAATTTTGGTATTTGTGGATGACATAGCCATATTTACAAGAGATGAGAAATCTGTCAATGACATAATTAGAATGCTAAAGGAAAACTACAAATTGAGGGACTTGGGTGAAATTAGAAACTATTTAGGAGTTGAAATAAAGAAGTATGATAAAGGATTTAAATTAGCCCAGAGAAATAGAATACTGAAGCTACTGAAGCAATATAAAATGGAAAATTGCAAGGGTGCTATAACTCCTATGAATGTGGAATTTGAAAAAGAAAATGTTACAGGTCCTGAATGTGATAGTGAAATGTATAGATCATTGATTGGTAGTCTATTATATTTGAATAGATGGTTGAGACCTGATATATCTATTGCAGTGAACCTATTGTCAAGGAATGTGAGTAAGCCAAATGAGAAACACTGGCAAGCTGCAAAAAGGATGTTAAGATATTTAAAGGAAACCCAAAACAAGGAATTATATTTAGAACCTAAGGGAGAATTGATCATAACAGCATATGCGGATGCAAACTGTGGGAATGACATTGTTACAAGAAGGTTCACGTCAGGAATGACTGTACATTTGGCTGATAGCATGGTTAACTGCAAAACAGCTAGACAGAAGTTTATATCACTTTCATCATTTGAATCTGAATATGCAGCTCTATCAGAACTTTGTACAGACCTTATATTTTACAAACAGCCCAAGATCTAGGAATAAATTTAAAGGATCCAATATCTGTAAATGAAGATAACCAGGCTGTGATACAAATGGCAAAT